GAATAATACTACACTTAGTAACCCAGGATGGGTATAATACTACACTTAGTAACCCAGGATGGGTATAATACTACACTTAGTAACCCGGGATGGGTATAATACTACACGTAGTAACCCAGGATCGGTATAATACTGCACGTAGTAACCCAGGATGGGTATAATACTACACGTAGTAACCCAGGATGGGTATAATACTACACGTAGTAACCCAGGATGGGTATAATACTACACTTAGTAACCCAGGATGGGTATAATACTACACTTAGTAACCCGGGATGGGTATAATACTACACGTAGTAACCCAGGATGGGTATAATACTACACTTAGTAACCCAGGATGGGTATAATACTACACGTAGTAACCCAGGATGGGTATAATACTGCACGTAGTAACCCAGGATGGGTATAATACTACACGTAGTAACCCAGGATGGGAATAATACTACACGTAGTAACCCGGGATGGGTATAATACTACACTTAGTAACGTAAGCAGGGCAGTAATATCTCCACATGCACCAAATTGTGTTCGATAGCCTAACCAGTTTCAGTGCCTGGCTGGTCTAAATTTTATACAGACAATAATTATATATATTTTTTTAATTCATTCGAATTAATTGCGATTGCAGGATAGAACAGATAGATGTACATGCCATACTCACCTCTCTCCTTGTGCTCAGCTGCACCTTGTTTGAGACTCTTATATTAAAAGCGCACATCTTATCTTCAACTACAGTTGAAGCTCAAAGATTTATGCCCGACTAAAAAGAGTATAAAAAAAATATCGTAAAAAGGGTAATAGGTAAATACCTCCAATTGTGCCTCGCTGGTATCTTCCCAAAGTGAGTTGTGTTGGAAAGGCCATGGACAAGCAGTCATACCAGGCATACCCAAGTGATAGGTAATATATGCAGACATATATATGTACACACCAGTGTAAGTTGGTGAACTTTGGAGACGCGGTTACAACGCGGATAGTACCGTGAACACACAAGGACGAACACTGGAACACCGCCCCCACAACCACGCTCCTCTGCCCCGTTGCACCGCAGCTGATATCATATCATTTTATACAGGTGAACTTCCTGTTTAATGCAGCACCTTTACCGCGTATGTGACGCCTAGCGAGGTCTAGTAACACCTTGTCTACCCCGGACGATGGTGTGTTGCGATCATCCAAGTCGTTGACATGTGTACTACACAAGTGCTGTGAGCGTCAAGGTTGTTATACTACTTTTCTCTTCGGTCTGACGAAAGAGGGACAATTAAAAAATGGCATTATCTTATCGCGTGGCGTTGTATCACACATATCGCGAGACGGTGAGAGAGTTCCGACTCCTTGACGACACCATTTGTACTCCAAGACAAGAGGAGGAACACACCGAAGGTGAGAAAGGTTATCAAGGGTAAGAGAACAATCTTAGAATGTTCAGGTGAGAATTACTACACCGGAAGATGGGTACACAGGAGTGAGAGTGAGAAAGGTATCACAAATATGAGACAGCTTTCTCAGTGAGGGTACCAATGTTTACCTCAACGGTCTCAAACTGTAGTTATATAAGCAACTGCGAGATAATTAAAAAAAAATTTAAGAAGTGCCGCACCAACCGGGCTGTGGTGGGTATGTGGGCCTGCGGGCCGCTCCAAGCAACAGTCTGGTGGACCAACTATCACAAGTCAAGCCTGGCTTCGGGGCCTGGCTTGTGGAGTAGAACTCTCAAAACCTCATCCAGGAACAATCCAGGTACAGATAGACACCTCTGGCAATGATAGTGAACTAGTAATTTAAGGAAATCATTTAGGACTGGTGACCGCAGTTGGTGGAGACAGGACTGTTGAACCCCCCGGTATTGGTTCTTACGACTGGGACGGGAGCCGGTCGGCCGAGCGGAGAGCACGCTGGACGTGTGATCCTATGGTCCCGGGTTCGATCCCGGGCACCGGCGAGAAACAATGGGCAGAGTTTCTTTCACCCTATGCCCCTGTTACCTAGCAGTAAATAGGTACCTGGATGTTAGTCAGCTGTCACGGGCTGCTTCCTGGGGGTGGAGGCCTGGTCGAGGCCAAAACATGTTATAGTTTATTATGACTTTAGGGCATTTTTTCACATTCCATTACACAGTGACGTAAGGTATATGAATAGTTGTGATGCGAGTTTACATTTGGTCAGCTCCACTTCAGCAGGTGGTCTTGTAGCCGAGAGACTAAGCCTAGCAGCAGTAACTTCTAGAAGTCTGCTGAGCTTACTGGATGATCCATAGATGATCCAGTAAGATATGTGGCTCTTTCTGCATAATAGTATGATGATAAATGGATTAAATGGATGTGAATTTGACTGTCTCGGATCTTCCAGACTGTGTTACAGTTCTCGGCATATTATTGTAACAAAAGGTGTTAGTAGCTGCTCAAAGGTAGTCCAAAATGGTAATCAACTCCCTCTTTAAGAGCATATGAGTAAGCCAACAGTTCTATTATGCTTTCAATGGCCAATACTGGATGGGATCCATAGGAGACAATTTGTAACTCCATCAATGATTATTATATTACTTTTGTGTCTAGCTTCAGCCATAAGCATGTCCCAGTTATAACTTGTGGAGTTGAGTACAATCATGGAGTCGCTTATAATTAGCGTGTTGACTCTGGATACATATACTAGTTTGATAGTTTGAGTGCAAGGATTATGGCTCACAACTGTCTCAAGAGTGGAGGACCAGTTGTATATACGAGCTTCCAAATCAAAGTTGCAACCAAACAGTAACTACAGTAATAATACAATTTAAGGTATAAACGATAAATGTCAAGCCATTAATTTCAACACATGGTATAATATATACACCAGGACACGAACAAACCGGAATATAAACAAACCAGGACACGAACAAGCTAGAACACATCATTACATAAACCTATTAATTCCTGGGGGGTGTCACTTCCGGAAGGAACTATTGTGTTGGTCAATGAATTCCTAAGAGCAATCTTCCCTCCCTCCCTCCTCTCCCTGGGCACCCCTCCTCCCTTCCTCCTCTTCCCGTGTACCCCTCACCCCCTTCATCTCCCTTTGTACCCCTCTTCCCTGCCTGGGTACCCTTCCCGGATCTTCCACAAGGCTTCCATTTCCACAATGCCAACCTCCAACTAAGAACCTAAGGGGCCCCGACTTCCCTATAATATTCATCAATGAACCCAACAATAATATTCAACGTCTCCAATCATTCATTCCTAAACTCCGGGACACTTATTCGCCATTTTAAACTGAGTTAGATTGAAGTCTCCAAGGAATATAATGTCTGGTACTGGGCTTGCTCTCTATTTGGTTTATCTGCTCTGTGACTTCACCAGCCGGTGCATCTGCCTGTTTGTATATTACAATAATAACAAGGTTTGCAGGGAATGAGTCACATTTTCAAGAGGAAACTAGATTTATTCCTCCAAGGAGTGCCGCACCAACCGGGCTGTGGTGGGTATGTGGGCCTGCGGGCCGCTCCAAGCAACAGCCTAGTGGACCAAACTCTCACACAACCCGTCCTCTTAAAAATAACGTCGCTTTTGGCTCGTATGCGCGCTATGGCCAAAAGTGGACGTAATTTGAAATGAAATCGACTCACAAAAGTGACGTACTGTCCCGTTTTCTGTTTGAGTCGTCCGGCTTACTCGGAAAGGTTAGGAGAGGAAACTTTCAATTAACATTTTTCATAAAAATTTGAAACTTTATGAGAATTTCCTGCCCACCTAACCTACCAGAGGACCCTTAACTTACTGTTGTTGAAAAAAAAATCCCAAATTTATTTTCTTTTTTTTTTTTCATTTTCAAATTACGTCCACTTTCGGCCATACGGGCAAACAGCCAAAAGCGACGTTATTTTTAAGAGGACAGGTTGAATTTTGGGTACACTGTGAGAATGTCTTCAAGAACACGAGAATGAATAAAGGTGTGAAATTTATGAAAGAGTCTTTGGGGGTGTGCAGCACCACGGACGAGCACACTCTGGGGAGGGATTGTAAATTTCACAGCTCAAATTTCCCCCTATTTGATGTGATGAATATTAACTACATCTTATCGTAGAGAAAACAATAGGGATAAAAAAGGCAAGGGGTGACAGATGAATGACCCGGAACACGATGGGGGCGGACACAGTAAGTGTCGTAATAAGTGCTGTGAATACATTAATAATTATAATAACTATGGTACCAGTTTGTCGGGATTGTGGGGGCGGTGTGTGGGACCGTGGGAGGGGGGGGGGGGTGGTCTGTACGACTATGAGGGAAGGGGGAGTCTGTGAGATTGTTAAGTCTGTTGATTGTAGAAGCAGTTGGCGTGAGTGTACATGTGTGTGTGTGTGTGGGTGGTGGTGGTGTACACGGGGCGAGGCAGCTGGCGTGAGTGTACACGTGTGTGTGTGTGTGGGTGGTGGTGGTGTACACGGGGCGAGGCAGCTGGCGTGAGTGTACACGTGTGTGTGTGTGGGTGGTGGTGGTGGTGTACACGGGGCGAGGCAGCTGGCGTGAGTGTACACGTGTGTGTGTGTGGGTGGTGGTGGTGGTGTACACGGGGCGAGGCAGCTGGCGTGAGTGTACACGTGTGTGTGTGTGGGTGGTGGTGGTGGTGTACACGGGGCGAGGCAGCTGGCGTGAGTGTACACGTGTGTGTGTGTGTGGGTGGTGGTGGTGTACACGGGGCGAGGCAGCTGGCGTGAGTGTACACGTGTGTGTGTGTGGGTGGTGGTGGTGGTGTACACGGGGCGAGGCAGCTGGCGTGAGTGTACACGTGTGTGTGTGTGTGGGTGGTGGTGGTGGTGTACACGGGGCGAGGCAGCTGGCGTGAGTGTACACGTGTGTGTGTGTGGGTGGTGGTGGTGGTGTACACGAGGCGAGGCAGCTGGCGTGAGTGTACAAAAGCTCCTCGAGAAACAACACCTTTTTTCAGGAAGTTTTTGTGTGTTCCTAATGTAGAAATGATCTCAAACTGGTGCCGGGTGGAGGTGGTTGTTGTGGAGGGTCCAGTTAGCCAGTGCCATGCTGTGCTGGACTGTGCCATGCTGTGCTGGACTGTGCCATGCTGTGCTGGAGTGTGCCATGCTGTGCTGGACTGTGCCATGCTGTGCTGGACTGTGCCATGCTGTGCTGGACTGTGCCATGCTGTGCTGGACTGTGCCATGCTGTACTGGACTGTGCCATGCTGTGCTGGAGTGTGCCATGCTGTGCTGGACTGTGCCATGCTGTGCTGGGCTGTGCCATGCTGTGTTGGACTGTGCCATGCTGTGCTGGATTGTGCCATGCTGTACTGGACTGTGCCATGCTGTATGAGGCTGTGCCATGCTGTGTTGGACTGTGCCATGCTGTGCTGGAGTGTGCCATGCTGTGCTGGACTGTGCCATGCTGTGCTGGACTGTGCCATGCTGTGCTGGACTGTGCCATGCTGTGCTGGACTGTGCCATGCTGTGCTGGACTGTGCCATGCTGTACTGGACTGTGCCATGCTGTGCTGGACTGTGCCATGCTGTGCTGGAGTGTGCCATGCTGTGCTGGACTGTGCCATGCTGTGCTGGACTGTGCCATGCTGTGCTGGACTGTGCCATGCTGTGCTGGACTGTGCCATGCTGTACTGGACTGTGCCATGCTGTGCTGGACTGTGCCATGCTGTGCTGGAGTGTGTCATGCTGTGCTGGACTGTGCCATGCTGTGCTGGACTGTGCCATGCTGTGCTGGAGTGTGCCATGCTGTACTGGACTGTGTCATGCTGTGCTGGACTGTGCCATGCTGTGCTGGACTGTGCCATGCTGTGCTGGATTGTGCCATGCTGTACTAGGCAGTCATGCTGAATGAGGCTGTACCATGCTGTACTTGGCAGTCATTCTGTACGAGGCTGTACCATGCTGTACTGGACTGTATCGGGTGGTAGTGGGCTATTATATATCGTGTATACTAGTCTAGTGCGATATATACTAGTATATACAGCACTAGACGGTGCTGTTCAATATATAACCATGCTGTTCTGTGCTGTGTTGCCAAATGTTGTGTTGTCCTCTCCTGTTGCGTGATGCATCATGCTCTGGTGAGACGTGATGTGCTGTATGCTGCTGTCACGTGCTACACTGTGATGGCTGGGCTGTGCTCGTATTTGCTCTGCTGCTGTGTTCTGTGCAGTAATGTGCTGTGCTGCTGTGCAGTCAAACGAACTTAAACGATCTTAACAGCACAAATTTAATAAAAATACAACGGTAGATTATATTTGGTTATTATGTTGAGCACCGTGGACACTGTTTATATTGTGAGGGCACGGTAGGGAGGCTGCGGGCGGCCTCCAGGGCGGGTTCCGGCGACCTCCGGCAGGTGCGGGCGACCTCCCGGCAGGTGCGGGCGACCTCCCGGCAGGTGCGGGCGACCTCCCGGGCGGGTTCCGGCGACCTCCGGCAGGTGCGGGCGACCTCCGGCAGGTGCGGGCGACCTCCCGGCAGGTGCGGGTGACCTCCCGGCAGGTGCGGGCGACCTCCCGGCAGGTGCGGGTGACCTCCCGGCAGGTGCGGGTGACCTCCCGGCAGGTGCGGGCGACCTCCCGGCAGGTGCGGGCGACCTCCGACAGGTGCGGGCGACCTCCGGCAGGTACAGGAGGTCACCAACAGGTACAGGTGGTCACCAGGAGGTACAGGTGGTCACCAGGAGGTACAGGTGGTCACCAGCAGGTACAGGTGGTCACCAGCAGGTACAGGAGGTCACCAACAGGTACAGGTGGTCACCAGCAGGTATAGGAGGTCACCAGCAGGTACAGGAGGTCACCAGCAGGTACAGGAGGTCACCAGGAGGTACAGGTGGTCACCAGCAGGTACAGGAGGTCACCAACAGGTACAGGTGGTCACCAGCAGGTACAGGAGGTCACCAGCAGGTACAGGAGGTCACCAGGAGGTACAGGTGGTCACCAGCAGGTACAGGAGGTCACCAGCAGGTACAGGTGGTCACCAGCAGGTACAGGTGGTCACCAGCAGGTACAGGTGGTCACCAACAGGTACAGGTGGTCACCAGCAGGTACAGGTGGCCACCAGCAGGTACAGGAGGTCACCAGCAGGTACAGGAGGTCACCAGCAGGTACAGGAGGTCACCAGCAGGTACAGGTGGTCACCAACAGGTACAGGTGGTCACCAACAGGTACAGGTGGTCACCAGCAGGTACAGGTGGTCACCAGCAGGTACAGGTGGTCACCAGCAGGTACAGGTGGTCACCAGCAGGTACAGGAAGTCACCAGGAGGTACAGGAGGTCACCAGCAGGTACAGGAGGTCACCAGCAGGTACAGGTGGTCACCAGCAGGTACAGGTGGTCACCAGCAGGTACAGGTGGTCACCAGCAGGTACAGGTGGTCACCAGCAGGTACAGGAGGTCACCAGGAGGTACAGGTGGTCACCAGCAGGTACAGGAGGTCACCAGGAGGTACAGGTGGTCACCAGCAGGTACAGGTGGTCACCAACAGGTACAGGTGGTCACCAACAGGTACAGGTGGTCACCAGCAGGTACAGGTGGTCACCAGCAGGTACAGGAGGTCACCAGGAGGTACAGGTGGTCACCAGCAGGTACAGGTGGTCACCAACAGGTACAGGTGGTCACCAGCCGGTACAGGTGGTCACCAGCAGGTACAGGTGGTCACCAGCAGGTACAGGTGGTCACCAGCAGGTACAGGAGGTCACCAGCAGGTACAGGTGGTCACCAGCAGGTACAGGTGGTCACCAACAGGTACAGGTGGTCACCAGCAGGTACAGGTGGCCACCAGCAGGTACAGGAGGTCACCAACAGGTACAGGAGGTCACCAGCAGGTACAGGTGGCCACCAGCAGATACAGGAGGTCACCAGCAGGTACAGGTGGTCACCAGCAGGTACAGGTGGTCACCAGCAGGTACAGGTGGTCACCAGCAGGTACAGGAGGTCACCAGGAGGTACAGGTGGTCACCAGCAGGTACAGGTGGACACCAGCAGGTACAGGTGGTCACCAACAGGTACAGGAGGTCACCAGCAGGTACAGGAGGTCACCAGCAGGTACAGGTGGTCACCAACAGGTACAGGAGGTCACCAGCAGGTACAGGTGGTCACCAACAGGTACAGGAGGTCACCAGCAGGTACAGGAGGTCACCAGCAGGTACAGGTGGGCACCAGGAGGTACAGGAGGTCACCAGCAGGTACAGGTGGTCACCAGCAGGTACAGGTGGTCACCAACAGGTACAGGTGGTCACCAACAGGTACAGGAGGTCACCAGCAGGTACAGGTGGTCACCAGCAGGTACAGGAGGTCACCAGCAGGTACAGGAGGTCACCAACAGGTACAGGAGGTCACCAGCAGGTACAGGTCACCAGCAGGTACAGGTGGTCACCAGCAGGTACAGGAGGTCACCAGCAGGTACAGGTGGTCACCAGCAGGTACAGGTGGTCACCAGCCGGGAGGTGGCAGCTTCAGAGGCCGGATGTTGGTGCCTCGGGAGATAACAGGACCGACAGGACGTGGCGCCCTGGAGAGCCCGGGGCAGGGCGGGTTGTGGGCGGCGCTGCGGGCGTGGGACACCGTGGGTGTGGGCGGCGCTGCGGGCGTGGGACACCGTGGGTGTGGGCGGGGGAAGGGGGGGGCACGGTCAGGGAGGGAGGCGTGGTACACTGGTGGAACGAAGCGGTATACACAACCTTGGTTAGGAAGGAGGCATGGTGCCGAGCCTGACCCCTCATTCTCACCACACACACACAGCGTGACCCGCACTCTCACCACACACACACAGCGTGACCCGCACTCTCACCACACACACTCAGTGTGACCCGCACTCTCACCACACACACTCAGCGTGACCCGCACTCTCACCACACACACTCAGTGTGACCCGCACTCTCACCACACACACTCAACGTGACCCGCACTCTTACCACACACACTCAACGTGACCCGCACTCTTACCACACACACTCAGCGTGACCCGCACTCTCACCACACACACTCAACGTGACCCGCACTCTCACCACACACACTCAGCGTGACCCGCACTCTCACCACACACACTCAACGTGACCCGCACTCTCACCACACACACTCAGCGTGACCCGCACTCTCACCACACACACTCAACGTGACCCGCACTCTCACCACACACACTCAGCGTGACCCGCACTCTCACCACACACACTCAACGTGACCCGCACTCTCACCACACACACTCAGCGTGACCCGCACTCTCACCACACACACTCAGCGTGACCCGCATTCTCACCACACACACTCAACGTGACCCGCACTCTCACCACACACACTCAGCGTGACCCGCACTCTCACCACACACACACTCAGCGTGACCCGCACTCTCACCACACACACACTCAGCGTGACCCGCACTCTCACCACACACACACACACAGCCTGACCCGCACTCTCACCACACACACACTCAGCGTGACCCGCACTCTCACCACACACACTCAGCGTGACCCGCACTCTCACCACACACTCTCAGCGTGACCCGCACTCTCACCACACACACTCAGTGTGACCCGCACTCACCACACACACACTCAGCGTGACCCACACTCTCACCACACACACACACACACACACTCACACACGCACACACACACACAACCTGAGCCTCACACATAATGTCATGAAATAATCTGGAAGAGCACCAATATATGCCTCAGTTCCTTGTGTTTAAATTTATAAACTAATATTTCTCTTCTGTATTAATCATTTACTATATTTTGTGTTGTCTATTTTATTAAAATTTCTGTACCTCTATTGTTTCTAGAATAAGGTTAACTGAAATTTATAAATGCCCAACCAGTTCCGTTCCGCCAAGGAATCGAACCACGGATGGTGAGTTGAGAACGAAGTCAACTGTACAATGAGACCTTGTAAACTAGAGACTAACCTATTTTGTAAATTATCAGGAATCAAATAGAATGAGATTAAGTCTTGTTCGGTCATCTGTTCCTCTCTCTGGAACCTTGTGGTATAGTAGTTAGTACCCTCGCTTCGCAAAGCACAGGATCTGAGTTCGTATTGTGGGAAGAGTGGGACGATTGGGTAAGGATAGTCCATTCAAATGCACCAATGTGCACCAAAGATGGATTCGAGGATTTGGATGCAGACATAGCTATACAACAAGAAAACTGCCAAGGTCGAATGTGTAATCTCTTCCAGCACGCTCCGCTCAGTATTCGAATCTTCAACGTCAACAAAGTCCTGTAAACAACACAGGAGCAGTGTCTCGTAAATATTGGCTAAAGATTAGTTAATATGGCAGCCATGACCTCCTGTTTATGATTGTAAAAACACTTTACGTCTGCAGCCCGTCCTCATAAACAAAGGCTAAAAGTGATTCCATGCACCAGCCAGACCCCCTGTTTATGAATGAAAAAAGGTTTACACACGACTTTTCAACTGATGACGCAACCCGTTCGTAGAACCAGTCCATTCCATCCAGCGGTCGACCCCAAACACAACATTCATCAATTTTACAGCCCGTCCTCCAAACAAAGATCCAAAAGTGATTCCATGCACCCGCCAAACCCCCTGTTTATGAATGAAAAGCGGTTTACACACGACTCATAACTGCTGACGTTCGAACATATCCGGAACAAGTGCTTCACTGACTAATTTTGTTCGAACCACAACGCTATAAATGCTTCACCCACGTACTACAAATACAAATAATCGCCAACAGAACCTAAACACCTAACCTAACCTATGCCTATTTATACACAATATGCTAATATATTATAATATTAATTTATACTTGAGAAAATTCCCGTTTTGAATGA